GGTTCTACTCATTTCCCATCGAACCCCAGCAATATATTCCCAGTGGGCTTGAGCTTTTCTGGCTTAATCTCTAGCCAGTCAAATGTTATTCTCGGCATGACATTCGCACTGCTCCCTGGATCGATAAGAACTCTGCGTACCAAGCATTCTTCCATTGTCAAACTTACGACCAGAGGATCTTCATGTGGGACCTGTACATGCAGTAGATCTATTCTGGTGAACTTTATCTAAATTGATACACTCTGCTAGTGTAGAGCGTTAACGCTGCCTATCCTTCCTTCATCTGCGCTTGGTGGAGGCGCGTTCGAAGTAATTCTTCTGACTCCTCATTCAGCTCAAGTCAGCCGTGGATTGCATTTATTATCCAAACGGGCTGAGCGTTATAGTAGCCTTGCTTTTGACTCTTTTTTACTTATTCTGCCGGTCGGTTCTGCTCCACAGCCGGTCCTTGAATATATCCTGCAAACTCTCCCCTTGCTATCAACATCTCAACTTGCCTCCTTAGGTTCCTGTATTCATTAGTCTGATGACCAAAATCTCTATGAAAAGCACAATGTTTAGATTGATTTTTCTGCTCGAGAGGTTGTCTAATTGGTAAGGGGGAGCGGAACTTATCTTTGTTCTCCTAATACAGCCTTACGAGGGTAACTTTAAGTGGAGTGACTAATTCCTCTTCTCTGGGCCTCTTCTCTGCTTTCCAGGAGGTTTGACGCTGTGGCGAAGCTTGTTTTTGCCAGATCTTAGCTTTTGACTTCTCCTCTATCGATATAATCAACGTCTTCCTTGCACTAGCCGCTTCTTCTTCTTCCAATCGCATGAAACCATCAGCTCTCTCGTTCAGCTCGTCCATTGTCTTCGGCGTATTCACCACCAAACTGGTGTGGAACGGTGTCCCTCGATTCATTGCCAGCTTGAACGCCTGAACTGCTGTGGATGGATGACATTTCATTACCATGCTTTTGACGAGGTTGAACCTAGTTAGGAAAGCTTGGAGTCGTTCGTCTTCATGCTGCTTCATTGTAAACAGGCTCGAGACATCTTTGGCCGGGCACTTGTTCCCATAGTACTGGTTGATGAATTTGTCACATAGGTCTTGGAAGCTAGCTAGTGAGCCTTTGGCCAAATTCTTGAACCAATTGAGCGCTGGTCCGGTCAAACTTATAGGAAAGCACTTATACATCAAAGGATCATTCTCTGTGTGAAGAGCCATTTTCAATTGGATATGGTAAATGTGATCGATAGGGTCACTCGTTCGGAGCATTCAGTATCTCGTCAGTAAATGGTGAAGCAACCGTTCTTGTTGATGAACGGAGGGCTTCATTCTTCCTTGGAAACCTTGAGAAAATCCTCTGATTTGTAGATCTGCCATCCGAACCTTTGTAGTCGTACGTAGCCATTGAAGGTCGGTAGGGTGGATCAGATGATCTTTCCTCCGTGAGCTCTCTCTGCCACTGCGACGTAACTTTATGGTGACCAAACTTCATGGCTTCCTCTCGCCCGATCCGCTCACGATGCGGATCCAAATGGATAGATCCTTCTTGATCCTCCATATGACCAGTATTTGGCAGTAAATCGCCTAGCCTGATCTCTTTGAGGTGAAGATCCACGTAATTGTTCCCTTCTTGCTCGCCTTTGTAAGCAACATCGGGCTGCAAGGCTCGCTCCCCTATTGAAGGTGGCCGTGGAATCGCCAGAGCCTTCCGACGCTCCATTCTAGCTCGCAATTTTGCATTCTCTCTTCTCAGGGCTTCGATCATGCTCATCAATTCATTAAGCTTCGTTTGCTGGCCATTCTCCTGAAGATTAGAGCTCTCACCTCCGATCATCGTTCCTGATCAGATCTGATTGTTGCTAATGCGAATACACTAGATCTGGCCTCAAACTAGCTGAATTCCAATCTCTTCCCACCGGGTCTGATCTACAATCTGTTGATTCTATTCCTGTCATGAACTCGTCAGATCTAATCTCGGTGAACAGATTGAGATTTTTCAGATCCAATTCCTATCTTCAAAGATCAACTAGAGACAACACTTTGCAAGACAGACTACGATCTCGCCGATCTGAATCCAATTTCTAGAGATCAAGCTTCTCTTTCATGAATCAGCCTTGATCACATCGATCTAGATTGAACGCAAATCAATCTTCATTGTTCCCACGGACGGCGCCATTGAAGATGCAAGAAATTGTCCCTCTCAATTTGGAAAGAATAGTTCTACACTTCAAATATTTTCCAACCCCTTTTCCCTCTATTTTCAATCTATTTATAGACTGTTACAAATCTTCTAGAAGCTTCCTAACTAACTCTTTGCATTGGGCTGATCGCCTGGGCCCTTTTTGGTCATAGGCTTAATTTTTTCTTTCTGAAGTTGGGCTTCCAACCTGATTTCTCGGTCTTGGGCTTGACTAATGAAGACTCGGTCCAATACGGTTGTCCTTGTCTGACCCACTCTTAACCACTTGAATCGTACCCGGCCCAGATCATTTTTGGTATCCTTGGATTGCTTATGATTATTAGAGGTGGTTTACAATATTTTTTGTAGAATCTATGATGGTGAACCTGAAATTGTTAGTCATCTCTTGTATTGCTGTCTTAGAGCTATGTTAGTTTGGAAATTATCTGTGCTTCGATTGAATGGGGATAAAGTAGGTCATGGATAATGGGATAGATGGTGGAGATCAAAGATGGAGATTTGGGCTGAGGCTGAAGAAGAACATGTACTGAAAAACATGGCTGGTTTTCTATGTTGGCAAATTTGGAAGGCCAGAAATGCTTGGATTTTTGAAAGAAAATGGTGGGACGCTTTTGAGATTGTCAAAATTGGTAAGGCTCATTGCATGGAATATTTGGCCATTGTTGGTAAATCTCTAGTGGACCAAAAGAATTGTTGGCTTAATGGGAATCGTCAAAGAATCTACTGAATAGAATGCTCCTCTTGCTGATATTTTTAAAGTAAAAAACTGATGCTTCATTTTCTACTGGTTTATTTGAAGCTGGAGGTGGTTTGGTGTTGTGTGATCATTGCGGTAGTATAGTTCGTTTAGCTTCTTTTTTCTTCTAATGGAACCCTGATTCAACGGTAACTGAAGCTTTAGTTCTCCATAAGGTTGTGGAGCTGACTATTCAATGGGGCTATAACATAATCATGTTTGAAATAGATGCAGAGTTAATTGTTAGAGTAGTATAGAACGAAGCCTCTTCATCTCTCCATATTAGTCCTGTAATTGATGATATTAGAGTCTGGTTTAATCATCATCCGGGGTTTGAATTGGCTTGCGTGCTTAGAGAGGGGAATGAAGTTGCACACGTTGTTGCTAGTCAAGCTTTGAAGGATAAGTGCTGCTGTGTAAGGGTTGATAACTTTTCCGAGTTTGTTTTATCCAAAGCTAGTGTGAATATACTCAATGTTTCTAATTAATAAAATATTTTCTTGCTATTGAAAGAAAGAAAATGAAAAAAAAAGGTGGTTTACAAATGAAATTACTTTTAAACCCTTGAAAGTCCAATAAACCTCTAAAAGAATCAAATTTAGTAAAAAAAATTACTCTTTATAATTCCTTATAACAACCTACTATATTTACATACGTATAACACACATATGGATAAATATTATTTGTTATGAATTAGAAAGAGGCAAAAAAATATGATTCAATTAACTTCTTTTCAATTTTTTTAGCATATTATTTATAGTCATGTTTTTAACAATATATGTTAAAAATGCACAAAAAAATACAATAATTTTATTTTAAGTTTTAAATTACTAATTTGCCCCAATTAAAAATATCTGACTCCACTTGGGCAGTTCATTAAAGATTTTAATGCAATTTAAGAGAAAAAAAAAAAAAAAAAAAAACTTGATAAGTTCTCTGCTTTGAAAATTTCCCTTAGGGTATGTTTGGTATGGTGGGTTTGAAGGAGAATGATAACATTAGTTATGAAGGAAAGGGAAAGAAAGGGAAGGGAAGGATAATTTTAACCTCTTATTGTGTTTGGTTAATTAATGAAGGAAAAGAAAGGTAATGATAATAATCATATTTGGGAAAAGAAAAGGAAAGAAAGGAAAAGGAATTATTTTAATAAATTGACTATTATGCCCTTTATATATATATATATATATATATATATATATATATATATATATATAGTCGAAAAGAAAAAAAAAATTTAGGCAAATCATTTCAGCCTCCCCAATATCGCCTCCATCTCTATTTTCGTTCCAACTCTGAACTTGCCCTCTCTATCTCTCTGCACTACAACAATTAGAAGTTCAAAACCCATATATTTCAGTTTCTCTATCTGTTTGTAAGAATCAAAAGTTCAATACCAGGATCGGTATATCATTTTAGATTGTTCAGAAAATCAAAACCCAAATCTTTCAGTTTTCATTGCCGCTGTTCCAGTTTGGGTTCGCCGTCAGCCGCTGGCCCGCCGTCTCTCATTCTCTCTGCAACTGTTAACTTGTATGTATATTGTATATTGTATATTGTTTTGCAAACTTGTGCAATTTTGAGAGTAAAATTGGCATTACAACTCCTCTATCAGCCATTGCCTTCCCTTTCCTTCCATTTCCTCCCATTTTTGGGAGATAAGCAAATTACTGTACAAAGTTATACATAACCCTCCAAACCCTTCCCTCTCATCTCCTTTCCTTCCACCTATTTTACCCAAATACAATTTTTTAATCACCCTTCATCACCTTCCCTTCCCTTTTCTCGCATTTCCACTCTACCAAACTGACCTTTAGCCTTGAGCAATAAGTACGTAGTCCAAAAAGGAGCCCGGTTAATAAAAGAAAATTAGAAATTAAAAAAATGTTGTCCAAGTAAGTTGTCAATACAGGAGAGGAGGATCCATTTATCAGATATTGGGTAAGATCTGACCCATCAAAGTTACCCATTTCTCTGTTGCCCTAAACACCTTAAGCAAGGTTGAACGAAAGGCTAAGATCATATCTGGGATATCCAACGGCCTATATTACATTAGATACCCATATATAATCATCGCATAGCTACTGACACCCACAATCTCGCTATTTTGAGCCATCTTGAGTCGTCGACTCTCTCTAGGGTTTGCTGTTTTGCTAAGGTCTCTTCTAACTAGCGAAGATGGTATGTTGCATAGATATATTGAATATATATATTTTGTAGAAAGTTGTTTTAATCTGAATCGCGTGTCAAATTCATTTGGTTGTTCTCTTGGTCTCACAGTGATTTATGTATATAAATTCTTAGGTTCTTCCAAACGATATTGATTTGCTCAATCCGCCTGCTGAGCTCGAGAAGAAGAAGCACAAGCTCAAGCGTCTCGTGCAGTCGCCCAACTCCTTCTTCATGGTATGTATATTCATGTGTATATCTCTCTATATATAATACACACCTCTCTGTTTATGAAAAATAGAGAAATCGGCCTAGAACAGAAGTTCTGCAAAGATTTATTTTAAAGAGAGAGAAGGGTTTCAATTTAGTCTTGAGAGAGATGAGAAATGTGTTGCAGTCTTTTGTTCGGCCTTTATTTTGCTTGATCTCCTTTTCTCCAAACCCTAAAAATAACACAATTTTGTTGTAGGATGTGAAGTGCCAGGGTTGCTTCAACATGTAAGTTTTTCATTTTAGTTTTTAATTAATTTATTTTTTATTATGATCTATGAGTTTTATTTATTCATTTAAGTATGTTAATTTAATTACCGAGTGTTGGTCACAAAAATCTTGAACTGTGTGTGCAATATATATATATGATTGCAGAACCACTGTGTTCAGTCACTCCCAAACAGTTGTGGTATGTGGGAACTGCCAGACAGTGTTGTGCCAGCCAACTGGTGGACGTGCCAGACTTACCGAGGGATGTTCTTTTAGGAGAAAGGGCGATTAATGATACACCGTGCTGGTAATTTGCTGGTTGAGTTCGGTTTTCCCGGTTTATGTTTGATTTTTGATGTGTAATTTTGTTTGTTAGGACCAAGTTTAGCATCTTTATGACTATGTTTTATCTTATATCATTTTTTTTTTTTTGTTGATGCAATGAAATAGTATCCTGTTTGAAACTTTCAGTTACATGTCTTTGCTATATAAACACATTGTTAATCTATTAATGCTGTTTGGTCCAAATTTCACAAGAAATCTCTAGGAGAATGCTTCTTCTTGATTTTACATGCTGTGAAATTTTCTAGCAGTTAATTTTGATTTTTTACTTACTCTAGAACTCATTTTTGTTTTCACAAGTTTGTTTTAAATTATTAATCAATCTCAAATCTACACAGAACCTTATTATTTGTTTCTTTTCAGTATTAGAATTGGAATAAATTAATCATTGGAAAATGATTCTTGCACCGAAATCCCAAACCTATTTGATGTAGTGAATGGGACCCATGTTTGAGTTTATCCACCCTATCAGATAGAAACCCATTCAGTTAGACAAATAGGTTAAAATGGTCGCCCGAAAGCTTGTGTCCATGTACCTATATTGAGGCAACCGCTTAATACTGTTGAGGCAGCCACATCCAGTTAAGCTTCTTGCCATTAGTTAAGCAATTCCACTCTCTGTGGTCGTCGTCTTCAAAGACTAAAAGAGTGGCTCAATGGACTCTGGCTACTAACTGAACTAGGTCTGGGTCAGCCGATCATTAATTGTCCAGTTCTCGGTTTGTTTTATTCTTTGCCAAGGAACGAACAATATTGGGATTCCCTCCCACCCCTTGTAAACTGCCAGGCTTGCGGTTCTAGGCCAGCTGGGTCTTTTTAGAGTTATCAAGTCTTAAGACTTTTGTTGGTGAGTGGAAGGGTAGCCCAGTCGAATAGGGAGTACAAGGTGTTCGATCCGGGGTGTGAAAAATATGGTAGTTGCCCAACTTCTTGATCCATTTTTATCTCGTGTGCTGGAATGTTCATCATCTTACTGACAGCTCCACTGACTCAATGTGGCAAATACTGTACTCTTAAATTCATTTAATCGAAATGAACTGATGAGCTGAATCAAGTAGGGGCTTGTGTTGGCTTGTTTATAAATACAGTATTTAGAGTGTTTTTGATCTAGTCTTTGGCTCAAGTTGAGCTCACATTTGTGTAATTGGAAGTTATAATTTGGGATGACGTAATAATCTTTAAATTTGTAACATTGGAAGAAATTCTGCAAAAGCAAAACTAATTTTGGTTGCTTTGATGTTAATAAAATCAGATTCCAATCAGTTCAGATGCATTTAAGATGAGAATGATGTAGTAGTACTCTTCTTCATGCTCAATTGTATTCCATGGTGGTTTATTTACAGTTCTAAAAAGAACAGAACATTCAAAATGTAGTGCCAAATGACTAGTGTATTTTTAAGTGAGTGATGCTGGGAACAGAAGAATGGGCATACCTGCTGCTGTCTTTGGTGTAGCAGTGATTGAGAGGATCAACAAAAATGAACTCCCAAGGCATAATACTTGTTCGAGGAGCTAGACGCTCTACTAATTACGTCACTAGGTAATGACCGAACTCCCATGTATTTAGCATATCTACTCGGGGAACTGAAAAAGCTCTTATCAACTATGCCACTAGTAATGCCCGAACTCTCATGGGGTAACCTATATATATATATGTTTTGTGGCATTATTGATCTCATCAGCCGATCTTTATGACTAGTTTCACCGCCACCCCATACCACCGTCAAAAAACTACCACAAACAGCTTAGGATTCCGGTGTATCTTAAAATGGTGTAGTCATATAACCGACAAAAAACTTAATATTGGACATTGATGTCTGAAATTTTCCACTATATGAAATTGGACAACAATTGATGTTTGAAATTTTCTACTATTTGAAATAAGTTCAGTTTTATACTTTCATGAGCCTATACTTTCATAAGTCTACTTTCCAAAACATTTTTGTTTACTACATTTTGATTTCGATTTCGATTTCAAACGAATTTTCTATTCGTTTGCCTAACAGATTTTTTCTCTAACTTAGCACTTCAATTTATTTTTGCGTCAAATGTTAATAAGTCTACTTTCCAAAACATTTTTGTTTACTCCATTTCGATTTCAAACGAATTTTCTATTCATTTGCCGAACAGATCTTTTCTCTAACTTAGCACTTCAATATTTTTGCATCAAATGTTAATATGGGGTTCAATACATTAAGTTGTAAAGTTTAAAAGGTCTACTAAATAGTCAAATGGTAAGTTGATCAATTTTTGACTATGGTAAGTTGATCAATTTTTGAAACTTCAAACGGTGTCATCAACTAACTTATGTATGAGTGTGACAAACGTCAGTACTTCATCTTTTTATTTGACTCTGAATAACCTAAAATATTGGTTCATTCATTTTGACTCAAAACCCTTATTCTTTCAATTAAATGACTCGAGAACTAAGAATTATGTAATAGGGCTACTTTTTCACCGTTCAAAATAAAAAAGTATAAAAGTTAATAACATAACTCAAACAGAAGAAGAAGAAGAAGATCATATACGTTCGGACACATTTCCTCGGTAGGATACAAAATAATCTTAGGCAACCGTTTTTACGTGTGTGATTTTGATGAGGAAGGTTTACATGGTTGGATGAATGTTTTCCATTGTCTACTCTATTTCAATATTGCCCTTTAACCAAACAAAAATTAATTTTGTTGCCATTTAACCAAACAAAAATTAATTAATAAATAAAAAAATTAATGTGAAACTGTAAGAATTTTTTGATGGTAATAAAGAAAGTTGTGAAACCACATGATTCATATTGAAGTGGATTTTAGTTCCTAGTATTATATCGACCATATACAACCACATTCATATTCCAAATTATGGTCTTTTAAGAGTACCTCCACACTCTCGTAAGAGCTTGAATACTCCGCCTCTCAGTTTAGGAAGTTGGGGAGATACTGAATGGCGGAGGCAACTATGGATAACATTTACATTGTTATTAATCAGACGATCAAAATTACAAGCATTTATTTGAACAAAATTTTATGCTAATACATGGTAAAGACACTCGTTACTCTTTAGCATTTCCTATGGCAGTCCTTTTCCGTATAAAAATTCAAAAAGATCTTCTCTAAAAAATAAATAAATAAACACATGTTTGGATTTCTAAGGGGGGGACATTGAAAAGTACATGGCATCGCCTTGCCTGCATGTTGTGGCTGTTATGAAACTCAAACCAGAGCCCTCAATTTTGAATTTTACTCGTTTGCACAAAGCAATGGTCCTAAGAACAAATCCAATGTGCTGCTATTTTAAAAATATAGCAGGTTTAAAATAGATTCTCCAATGACATGCTAAATGGGATGCCAAAATATAACTTTGCCAAATTTTGTGCCAAATATAACACAACATGTAGCTATTATCAAGTCTGCTATTGCTCTCCTCCTCCTCTCTTCTCTCTCGCATGGGCTGCCAATTTAGTGTTGTGCTTGTGTGTGTATATATATATGTCAGTTGTACTTGTATATATATATATATATATATATATATATATATATATATATATGTCAGTGTTGTGTGTATATATATGTATATGTGTATATATATGTCTGTTGTGGTGTACATCTATATAGATGTCAGTATTTTTATTTATTTATTTTTAATAAGGCAAATAATCTAAATAAAATATAAACACTCAAAAAAAAAAAAAAAATGGTTGTTGAAAATTGTTATTGGGAATGGTAATTGAAAAATAATGATTGTACCATTGGTGCAGAATTGTTAAAATATAGCATTTTGTAACTCCTCAAAATATAGAATTGACATGCAAAAATAGTATTTTGCATTGGGATGGTCTAAATCCTATTTGGTGGATTTTTTTATGATCTTATATATATATATATATATATATATATATATTTATATAGATAGATAGATCGATATGTGAACTCTCGCCTCTCTCTGTGAAATAGCAGTAGCTATTTCTTGTACTACAATTAACATTAGTTTTGACAAAGTTAAAAATTGGCAAACAATATAGTATTGCATTGGAGAGCCCCCTTTTAAGCCCACTTGTTATATTTTAGAAATGGCAGCCCTTTTAGCATTGCATTGGAGATGCCTTAGCTGTTTTTTTTTGGACAATGAGATCCCCTAGGATAATTTTGATCCAAACAAGTCCTTAAAACGTGGGAAAAGATGAGATTGCCCTTCAATATTTAATTCATTTTAGTGTAAAATATCAGATTTCTTGAAAAGTCAAATTTGCCCTTATATATATACACTATATACACTATTGCGCATATATATACACACACTATATACACTATTGGAAGGGTTGAGGGGCAAAGAGAGCAGGCCCATCGCCACCACTACCACCCATAGCAGCCCCCACCAGTCCATAACCACAGAGAAATCCATTATTACAATCCAAAATTTAGAAACCCATTATTGCAAGACCCAAAGAAATTTGGATATATATATAGGCACACAAAGCTATATAAAGATACCAACATAGAAAATCGATCATATATATATATATATATATATATATACATATATATTTTGTAAGCATATAAACCCACTAACAGCAAGCTTATCAAAATTTCTTGCCCCTAAAGTGTTATAAGTTAGAGAAGGTGATCAACGAAAGTGGACTGTAGCTCCGGGAGTGGTCGAGACTTGTTTAAGATTTCGTTTTCCAGCACACAGACCCACATTCCTTCTTTGGCAGAACCGCGATGGTGAGTAATTTACTGGCCGACGTCCGCAACGGCGAGCCGTCTCAGGGAATCGCCGATTAGCTCCCCAATCGGAAGCGTCAACGCGTTGAGGACGTCTCGATCGCCACCATCGTTGAAGAGAAGAAGCTTCATCGGGTCGTCTTGAACCACTGGAAACTCGAGGTTTCGTCAAGCGAGTCTCGTTTGGAGGAATTCTAGATACATAAAAATACATTGATAAAAACACAAAATATGATGGACTATAGCTTTTTATATCTTCTAAAATAAAATAAAAACTCTTTTTACAATAAAAATATATAAAAATTATTTATTAAATATAAAAGAAAATAAAAACTCCTTTTTTTAAAAAATAAAAATAAATATATGACGTAGAAACTCAAAAAAAAAAAAAAAAAAGAAAAAAAAAGAAAAAGAAAAACAACTCTTTTCAAAATTAAGTAAAATTAAAAATTAATGATAATAGAGCAAATCTCAACCACA